TGGAATATAATGAACTGTTATGAATTAAAATTTAATGGATAAACGCTTAAATTATTATTGTGAACTTTTTCACGAAATTAAAGTAAAAAGAATTTATTCGAAAGATTAAAAATTTATTAGAAATTTATAATCCGAAATAGAAGAAAAAAAATCGTACGTGATGAGGTATTATTGAGTATACTATGACCCAAGGTAAATAGAAAATACATCATCGTCCTTGGTAAAATTTTATTCACAACTTCTTTATTGAAGTCAATTTGAAAACAATTCTCTCACTACTTTAGGTATTTTTCAATCTTACCATCTGAAACGGATCCAAAACCCAGCAACGTATTCAAGGTCACAAAATCTTGGATATTATGAACTGTAAGGCATTGAAAATTTTATGATGAAATGCATGAAACTGGAATTCTCAATACTTTTCCCCACGTAGATGGAGCAGCATTTATTATAACGATTAAAATATTAGTATTGTAAATTTCCAGCAAGAAAATCCAATCAAAAAACCACACTGAAAAAAAAAAAGGTACCGTACGGAACCTAAAAGGGTTCCGAGATTTGCAACGAATGCGAAACCATTTTAGGTTTCGTGTAAATCGGTTTCTGTACGAAACCCTTATTGGAAACGCCAAAATAGGGTTTCGTACACTACTCTTTCTACTCAATGTTATAAATTATTCACAAACTTTGCCCACCCAGTTTTGAGCCACATCACTAACCATACTTTTAGAATGATTCATTAAAAATAACACATAACACAACCACACGTCTCCATGAACTACTGTTAACCGTACATGAAATGAATCACACTACAACTACATAGATATTCACACCATGTCAGCAACGCTACCGTTAGTAAGGATGCCAATAATTCCACCAACAGAAATAAAATCTCATATCATTCCCGTTCCATACCCGAGAGCCACCTCCTAACTTCTCAAGCATTACAAGACTAACTATCATTCTCATATTCATTTAAAACTAGCGTAGGCAAGTACACGATTCCACTCATCTGAATATGAATTGAGAGTAATAATTTAACAGATACTTACCTTATCGTCGACGCCTTCTGCAGATCCGCATAACACTTTTAACGTGAATTTGGAATGAAACCGTTCCACACCATCGATCTCTTGAACTGATCTAAATACAAAATAAAATCATATGTGAAATAAAACATACCTTGTCGTTGCTTGTTTCGATTGATCTAATTACAAAATTCAATTACAATTTAACATAAAAACTTAAATAAGTATTCATTTGATTAGTTGATCTAAATGTAAAATAAGAATCTTATTTGAAATATAACTTACCTAACAATTGCCCGCTTCACTTGATCTAAATAGAAAATTAAATAAAACTTTGAAATAAAAATTTATCAAATTATTGCATTGGTTAGTTGATCTAAATGTAAGATAAAACTATATTTGAAATGTGTATTACCTAACCATTCGTCGTTTCGAGTGATCTAAATACAAAACTAAATAATAATTTGAAATCAAAATTTACCTATAAGTGTTCAACTGGTTAGGTGATCTAAACATAAAATAAAGTTCTATTTTAAATAGAGCTTACCTTGGCGTTGTTTGTTTCGATATATCTAAATACAGGACCAGATTACAATTAGAAATGAAAACTTATCTCAGTGTTGCTTCGCTTAGTTGATCTAAATATAACATCAGAACTTTATTAGAAATATAGCTTACTTTGTCATTACTTCTATCGATTGATCAAAATACAAAACTAAATGAGAATTAGAAATAGAAGTTTGCCTTAGTATTAAACTGGTTAGTTGATCTAAATATAAACTAAAAATTGTGAATAAAATATGGCTTTTTTAAGTGTTGCTTACTTTGATTAATCTAAATAGAGGATTAAAAGACAATTAGAAATAAAAAGTTTACCGCATTATTGGTGTGGTTATTTGATCTAAATATAAAACAAGAATCTTATTAGAAATATAACTTACACAACCATTCGTCGTTTTGATTGATCTAAATACAAAAATGAATGAGAATTTGAAACAAAGTTTGCCTTACTATTGCTCTGATTAGTGTATCTAAATATAGAGTAAGAATCATATTTAATATATGACTTACCTAAGCGTTGCTTGTTTCGATTGCTCTAAATACAAAACTGAATTAGAATTTGAAATGAAAATTCGCGTAAATATTCAACTGGCCGGTTAATCTAAATATAAAAAAAATCATATTTATAATATGCCTTGCCTTACTCTTTCTCGCATCGATTGGTCTAAATAGAAAATGAAATTGAACATTGGAATGAAAGCTCAATCAAGTGTTGAAATAGTAAATCAATCTAAATATAAAATAAAATAAAATTTGTAATATAAGTTACAAACAGTTGTATATTTCAATTGTTTTAAATACAAACTTAAATCACAATTCGAAATAAATATTTACTTAATTATTGTTATGGTTATTTGATCGAAATATAGGATAAAATCATCTTGGAAACATATCTTTCTCACCTTTCATTATTTAGAGTGATCTAAATAGAAAATTAAATTAAAATTAGACATGAAAATAAACCGAAGTATTCAACTGATCAGTCGATCTAAATATAAAATAAAACCGTGTTTCAAATATAACTTACTAATCCTGCCTTGTTTCGATTGATCTAAATAGAATATCATATTAAAAATAGAATATTATATTAAAAATAGAATCGAAAATCTCTGAAGTATTTAGCTGGTTTGTTGATCTAAATATAAAAGGAAATCATATTTTAAATATAAGTTACCTAACGATTTCTCTTGTCGATTGGTCAAAAAATAGAATTAAATTACAATTTGAAATAAAAACTCACATAAGTGTTGAACTGATGAGTAAATCTAAATATAAAATATAATCTTATTTCAAATTTAATTTACTGACCGCTACTTGCTTTGAATGATCTAAATAACAAATAAAATCGGAGTTAGAAATGCAAATTCTATCAATTATTGAACTGGTTAGTTGATCTAAGTATAAAGTAGAATTTTGTTTCAAATATAGCTTGCCTAACTATTTCTCGCTTGGATTGATCTAAATAGAAAAATAAATAGAATTTTGAAATCAAAATTTGCCTGGTTATTCATTTGGTTAGTTAATATAATTATAAAATAGAAATTATATTTGAAATATAACTTACCCAGCGCTGCCTTTTTCGATCGATCTAAATAGGAAATTAAAGTAAGATACGAAATCACAATCTCTGAAGTATTTTAGTGGTTCGTTTATTTAAATATAAAATAAAATTATATTTGAAATATAAGTTGCTAATCGTTGCTCGTTTGGTCGATCTAAATCTAAATTTAAATTAGAGATGAAAATTCAGCTAAATATTGAACTACTCAGTCTATCTAGATAGCAAATAAAAATTGAATTTTTCTAAAGAGAGTTGTGTTTTGGACGGTAGAAAATGATATGATAATTGTATTGAATGGTATTTGTTTATGTGTATTTGGATGAAAGTTTTTACAACATGTTGAGATATATATGGTTTCTTTTTATTGGTTCGAGAAAAGCAAAAATTGATCACAACGAATAAAAATAAAAGCAATATGGTCTATAAAGAGACGTACGAGAAGTTGTTTATGGAAACATCTTCTCCTAATATTTAAATAAAGTATGGAAAATTATTTTAGATGTAAAAAACTCAAGAGTTGCTTCTTTATGCATGAATAAAAAGAAACTGTTAATATTTTTTTGTTTTTGATCGTTTTAAGCGTGACACAATTGTGTTTTCCGGATTAGCACGACGTTTTCGCGACAGGAAACTGAGTTCTTGTTTGTTGCTGGATGATAAATCACTTGATTTTAATGGTATTGATGGTGTTGCATTTAATCGACATTCACTGTTTTTAATTGAAATTGGTACAGTTAGTGATGTTTCTTTTTCTTCTGGTGTTACTATTTGTATGGCTAATGGTGAATCGATCGATGATGGTGAACTATTTGTTGATGGTATTTGTCTTGCGGATTTGTTCAAAAGTTCGTCAGTAGCACCATATGTAGTATTGATTGTCAGATTTTGTGTAATATCGTCTAGTAATACAAATATACAGGATGCCCGGAAAGTCATTTAACAAAAAGCAAATTAAGTATCTTCGTCTTCTTTCAATCGAATGAACGAATTTTTTTTCTGGTGATAAAGAAAAGTTGTAAGTTTTTATGTATAAACCAGTAACTTATTGGTACACTTGAAATCTAATATAATCAACTTTAATACAGTATTTGATCTTTTCTCCAAATCTTCGATTAGTAGTCAACACAAAAAAGTACAAAGTTAGCTGAAAAAAATTTCGGTATATTTCATTTTGTACAACTTTCTCCGCTGATAATTTTAGTAAAATAAAATTCAATTTTTACTAATAAATGGGAACGCTAAGATCAAAACACTGGAAAATATCAAATTTGTAAAGAGCTCATCAGCAATTTGACCTTCTCCAATATTTCAAACCTAGTGCCGTCACCCTTCGATGAAAATGAAAATGTTTTTGTCATAAAAATGATCAGCGAAAAAAGTTGTAGAAAATGGGATATATCAAAAGGTTTTCCAACACTTTTATTTTTTTGCGGCTGATTATCTATGAAAGTAGTCTATCACAAGTTAACTGTGGTTGTCCGAGTTCTTCAAGATATTCTCTGTATGGATATTGCGGAAGGATCCCGTGAAGCATCAGAAACGCTAGATAAGTCAGCAAAAACTCAAAGATTGTAAATAAATTATTTCACTAATTGCGAAAACTTTTAAAAAAAGACAGTCGGATAGCATTACAGAAACAGAAAACCTAGCATTTATCTTGGACAGAAATAGTAAATATTTCTCTTTTAAATATATCGAAATAGTGTCAAGTATTGTTGTCAAACGTTTTGCTCATAGATAAAAAAAAATGGAACTCTTTTCTATCATAAGGAAAAAAATCAGCTCATTTTGTATAAATGAAAGAGAGATATTTAATTTTCTTTTTGTTAAATGACTTTTCGGACACCCTGTATATGATTGGAAACGATCTTTACGTATAGCAATATAAGTATCTGTGTTTTCGGTTGAATTTTCTTGATATCCGCTATCAATTTGTCCAACACCTTGATCATCTTCAGCTTCTTGAAAATTATCAGTTGTGCGTTTGTTATTATTTGTTGACGTGATTGTGGCTATTTGAGTATTTATTTTGCGATCTTTTTTTTCAATATGAAAATCCCATTGTTTGAGTAAAGATCGTAATGGTTTTGTGAGTATTGCCGGTTCTTGTAGCAGCACTCCATATAACAAATGAACAGCTCGATTATGTGAACCAAATTGTAATTCGAATATGACATATAAGGAAATGATAATGCACAACGCCTGATCTATTGATTTTGTTTCAGTAATTAAATCGAAATCCAAATAAATAAAAAGACTATCTGTTGTTATTCGTATAGTTGGACGAGGATCTAATGGTTCCTATATGTTAAAACGAAAGAATATAATTGCACATCTGTAAACTGATTTTAAAAATTTTATTGTATAGACTTTAACAATCTACCTATTCTTGATTAATTTATACTATAGGAGAAATCGATTACTCACTTTATTGTTTAATATGTATTGCCAAGAATCATTAAAATGCTTAGATAATAGTTTGATCAAGCGAACAGGCGGTAAATCTAAATAGTTATCGAAATATATAACAAAAACATAGAAATATTCAGTGATTAAATTAAATATTCACCATTTACAAAACCTGAATTATCTGGTATACTAACAAGTAATTTTGGTAATACAGATTTCCAGTTTGACTCAACATCAACATTACATAGATATTGAATCTCGTCAAATACCTTTAAAAAAAGTGTTTTATATGTAAAAATCATTGCAAGAAGTACAGAGCGATGGGATGGTTATTAATCTCTAATATAAAAATAAAAATATTCTTACCAATAGTGCAATACGATAGCCCGGATATTCTTGAAGAACTTCTTTTGTTGTATGACTTTGAATAAATGTTCTTCTCGCCACCAACGTCTTTTTCCATGCAACCCTAACTCTATCCAAATTATTATTTTCAAGTGCTAATTCATTTCTCATAAATTCAATGCTTGCATTCAAATCTTCATCATCATCAATAAGATCTATTTTGTTCCAAAAAGCAAGTGGAACCTGCAATAATAAAAATGAAAATAATAATTTCTACTCCTCTTCTCATCTTAGAATCGTAGTTTTAATAAAACTTACTTCACGACGAGGTGCAATTTCATGGTCATTTGATGTGATTGGTCGACCAGTGCTGCCACCATATTTGAGCTTCATTCGTTGAACTTGTTCAGATGTTTGTTGAAGTGGACGACGTTCTCGTTTGAATTTAGCTTTTAGACTTTCGATCCAATCATTCTAGAAAAATTTATAATTTATACTGACAAAATACCAAAATAAAAATACTTAAATCTCACATTCTAGGTTGATGCTTTGCCTTATTGTTGAAATTTTGTAGCAAATTATATGATTTTGATTAAAATTATTTTATTTGATTTATTTATAGAAAATATTCTATGAAGTGACTTTTAGCTAAAGGACTAAGGATATGGTACCATAGATTGTCATGTTAATTGATTTTGTTATACAACAAAAATGCAGAGCTTATTATAGCTATACACTCTATTATCTTTTCTTTCTATACAATAGGTCTCATTCTTGATAGTATTAGTGAAAAGTTTATTTACCAATATTGAAGAATCTTTAGAAATTGAAGTTTTCAATATTTTCAGTATTGCCACGCCCATTGATCTATAATGATGTGAATTTGGATAACTAAAAAATACAAAATTAAAATATTTGTGTTTGTTAGAGAAAGTGTTATAACTACTCACAGTAAAGAATATTTCGTTGTTACATCTGTGAAAATAGCATCCAGCAATAATCGTCGCGCGTTTGTGTGACCACTAAAATGATACACCTCGCCTTTATCAATATATTGTTGAATTTTTTTTGGTAAATCTGGTATAGTATATATATTTGGAAAAGTTATTTCTGTAATATCTTCACCATTTTCTTTTTCTTCATGACTTTTCGGTGAAATGACTATTTCTTCATTGATAACTTCAGAATTTTCTGAAGAAATAGAATCAAGACTATCACTTTGTTCATTATTTGAAAACGTTATTGTCGACATTGTATTAACTTGATTAAGATCATGTTGCTTCATTAATTGTTGAGAATTATTGTGCGGCGAATGTTCAAGATAATTATTTGAGAAATCTTCATCAGAATTATTTAAAAATGCATTATGAAACAAAGCACGATGTTCTGCTAAAAAACGTACACGTTCTTTCATCGGTTTAATTATTTCATAGACCATTGATTGTGGTAAGTTAAAAAGTGTTTCACCGTCGATATCTTCTCCTAAAAAAACAAAAAAAAAAACAAATATCTTTTTAATACAAAAGTTTGGTGGAAAACAAGAAATGGCACTTGTCAGGTAGTATCCAAATATAACAAGACGAATATTTGTTTTTGAAATAACATAAAAAACTTTTTATTTATTAAACACGTTTTTTTTCTTTAGTAAGGCGCGACAAAATGTTAACATACGATTTTTGATTCAATTCGTATAAATCAAGTCCTTTCGGAAATATTTGAATAAGTTCATGAGGTTTTTTAATCGACAATATGTGTGCGCGTTCTAATTCATATGACCAAAGCGACTCATTGAAAGCAATTGTATCTAAGTGTTCTACTACAAATAACCAAGTATTCTCAATTTTCAAAATCAATATTAAATGAACAAATGTTGGTATTTCTTCTTCGTGTACCAAATTATTCACAAACACCGAACCTTTAATAAACATAACATGATCAAATTGTAATCGGTGGTATTCCATAATCGTCTTCGTATGATCAATGTTTTCAATATTTTCGCTTAATAATTTACGAATATCAGTTGGTAGTGTTAATAAGTGTTTTTCTTGTGATGAATAACCTTCATTAATTATATTATAATAATTGGTGGAAGATAAAAGAAGACATTGATGTAGTTGATGGCGCTTGGATAAAGTATAAAGAATGTTTTTGTAGTTGTTAGATTTAATAGCAAGTTGTTTAAAAATCTTATGTTTGGACTCAAAACGCATACACCAGTGTTTAACAGCTGGTCCATTCATTTCAATTTGTTTTGCATAATGGGTAATAAGATGAACCTTCGATGAGACAAAATTAGGCAATAGATGAACCATCAAACATTGAAAACGAATAGTTAAAGAATTTAAATAAGATAACCATGACTTTCTAAAAGGACAAGCATATACATGACTAATAATTTCACGCAAACAAATATAGACATCTTTAGTATCCAATCGATCAATTATGTCATAAAATATAATCGGGAACAGCTTGAATAAACACATTTTTTGAGATGCTGTACCGATTATTTTTCCTTTATGCAAATGTTTTTTTCTTAAAAATGGTGGTTTATTTTTCTTATCATAAGAACCATACTCAAATGATATCAACCGATCTTCAATTTCTGCATAAGAAAGAAGTCGTTTTATTGACGCTTCTTTAAACATGGCTAGCAATACTTGACCACAAAGACCTAAATGGAGAGAGAAAGTCATTGTTTCCTAGAAAAAAACCTCTCTTCGTATACCTTCATTTAGATCGTGCATGACATCATTCGGTAAAGATATAACAGCATGAAAGCCAATTAATTCTGATAATGGACTTTTATCAATAACACCACCTATAACATTATTATTATTCAAACGTAATACTTGTTGAACTAAATTATCATGTTGATCTTGTGTTCTTTGAACATGAGAAATTTCATATAAAGGAATAAATCGTTGATCATAATTTATATGACAATGTCTACAAAATTGACCATTACTAAAAGATTTTTGAAAACCACCTATATCATTTGACGCTAAATGGTCACCAGTTACGACAGAAAATGCAAAGTTTAATCGACCACGTAAAGCTGGAATATAAAGTCCGTCCGTTTGAAGAGCATTGAGATCCTCGACGATAGAATCAAAAAACTTTCTTCGATTTGATTTTGCAGATAAATGAGCAGAATGACACATTGCTAGAAGGCCAATTGATTTTAACATTGACTTGACATTATTAGGTAAATCTTCTAATTGAAAATAAATCATCGTAATTTTTTGAGTATCCTTTTTTGCACCTATGGGATTGGTTACTCCGATTTCATCAATATATAACTGAAACAACAACGAATCAGGTTTACTTTTTAAAACTGAATGTTGTTTTGCTTGTGATCCATGACGATAATCGTACATAAGATCAAGATCAAGAGCATTACAACTAATTGTTTCATTATAATTTTTGATTAACATATTTAATACATCAGGCTTACTCAACATTTGTCTAATACTAGATTGTATTGGTATATAATATGCTACTTCATTCGGATTGTCTAACTTTATTTATTTTGCTGGCTCATAAAAGAAATATTTCTTGCATAACTTCAAAAAGTTGTATTCATTTTTTGTAACATCTGTCATTCTTTCTATAATATTCGAAATTAATCTGTTAACATCAACCAGTGAAATAAAATTGTCTGTTGATAAAGAAGCAGTTGTTGCTTGGCATCGAGTGAAGGAACTTTGAACTTGAATTTTTAATAATTCATGGATTAGCTCAATCAACGATTTAAATCCGAATGTGATTGCTTGGATTATATTTTGTGGTAAAGAATAACCTTCTCTCAAATTTAATAGTAATTCTAAATAAAACTTTTCAAATGAATCTAAATCGACTTTTTTCTCTAATAATCGAGTTTTTGCTTCCTTAAGTAATAACCAGCAAAAACTAGTTTCATCATCGCTTTCTCCTTCATTCTCGCTTCCGTTGTCTTCTAAATCGTTCTCTTGAATGTCAAAGTCTAATTGTGCATCATCATACGTTGATAGGGATACTTTGTTCGTGTGTGCACCAGTATCAAATTGTACTTCTTGTTTACATAAATCTTCATCAAGAAGATTTACATGTTCTCTATAGACATGTGCTTTGTAAGCTTTAAAGTTCGTGTATATCGTTCCACATAATGGACCAAGTTCACATCGAACTTTAAAGTTGGATTGCCCATTGTGAACGTATTGTAAGTGCTGAAATAATTTTCGAAATGTGGGATATGATCCAGCTTGAGCACACAGCGAGCAGAAATAATAATTTTGTGGCAACATATCAAGGTCACTTACTAGTAAAAATATTAAGAACTTGTTGATTTTTATTGAAAGACAACAACCATCGGGTTACTTGTGAACAATTCCAATTACGAGGATCCATTATACTGTATTAAACAATATCAATAAAACGTATAAGTCTGTAGTTAGTGAATGATGTCGTAAATTGTAATGCAACTTAAAACCCTGATAAAAAAAAATAACAATGAATATGATGCCAAGTCAAAAAGGTGCCTATACATACAGCAACTGCTGCAACGAATTCAGATACTTGTTCTATAAAACGATCAAGTTATAAGTACACAAAAGAATGAAGATTTTTCGACGATCTATAAAATGAAGCCAAGAAAAATATCGAGTTAAAAAATATACTGTTAAGTTAAATCTTGAGAAAAACAGAACTTACCAAGGTGATCTTTGAATGAATTTCTTATTGCTACAAATATAAGAATAAATTTAATAAACAAAACAATTAGTTTGTAATAGTGTTTCTAGTGAAAATCTGAAATATAATGTGTAGCACACGCTTTTTAAAAAGAAAAGCAATGTATATATAAGCTTATTTTTCTAAACAAAGTGTATTAAGTATACTATGGCGAAGTTTCACTAAATAAAAAAATGAAAAAATTTTCATCTTTTCGTCAAGTAAAAAAAAGGACCAGTAATAAATAAACAGAAAAACAATTTGAAATTCATCCTTTAAGTACAATTCACCATAAAAAATAGAATCCCAGAATTTCATATGAATTAACAAATTACAATTGCCTATTTTTAGAAACGAAAATTAAATAATCGCACAACATTTGCCAGCTATTATTATCATCTTCGTCATCATGAATATCAGTGTGATTTGAACAAAACTAAATTGAATATGTTATTAGTGTAGATTTTATTTACCACTTATTGGAAAACCTTGAAACTCGTAAACATAGGAATCTACGACATTCCAATAGTGAAGCAGACAAACATTTTATGTCTTTCAAACTGAATGATGAAAAGTAATCTTTTTGTTAATTTCATTGCATAATTTTTATTAAAAATGAAATTCTTAGCACTTGCTTAAATAAACTATCGCTTTTCATAAATCAATTTAAAAACCATCAAAACTTTTGTTTGTTTCATCATCAGAAATTTTATTTGTTTAATTTTTCTATGGAATAGAAAGTATTGAGAGTGAAATAAGATAAGTTTGAAAAGGAAAAAGACCGCATTGCCAACGAGATTGATTTCATTCAGTAAATGCTAGAACAAATAAAAATAGATCAAAGAAGATTTTTAGTCTAAACATAATTTCTGAGCTAAAAGTACTTTTCAAATTTTCTTTGTAAAGTATACGCTGTACACTCTCCTTTAAAAACTAAATGAGAAGCAGCGTTTATTTTCACAAATACAAATGTCTGTGCACTTTGCTTCCACTAGTGTACACTTGGCATTACAAACGCTGAGTTTGTAAGTGCAATGAAAAGCTGGTGCAAATAACAAAAAGTTTATTGTAGTCTATAAGCTGGTGATAAAGACCATAGCGACGAATGATAATCACTGTTGAAATGTACCACCCAGAGTCGAATGTTCAAGGAGAATGTATCAGGAAAAAAGTTTTAGGAGAGAAATTATTTAGGACGAAAGTACTTTCAAATTATGTTTTTCGGTTTTT